AGACCTAAACCCTTGTACTGAGGGCTGTATTGAGTGGTTTATGGGCTACAGCTCGTTCGTGTTTTAAATATTCGTGAAATAAAGCAACATGGAGTTTTCAGATGATAAGCTTTACTTCGGCTCTAAACAAAAATGAATTAATACAAGATGTGTGGTTTTACAACAGATATCAAAATATGTATGAACTGAATACAGGTTTATATTTGGGCAACCAGACCAATATTCCAATGATCACACTTCTATGTGATGATTTCACTTCTACTTCAAATTGTCCAAAGTAGATACTGATATGAGTGATTAGACTGTAATGTCTTGATCGCCCATACAACCAACGCATCATCCAATAACAGCTCCTCTGGTAAGATCCGAGGACACTTTTTGTACTCGCATCTGTACTCCAACTGACTATCTGTGGCAGCTTCTGGCCTTTATAAACCTTACTCATCTGTACACCTTGAGATTTAGGTGCAAATGTAATTGAGAAAAGCCTATTACCAATATTTTTGGTAATACTGTGTATAATATGACTGACTTTCATAGAATTATACAAAATATACACGAAAATATATGATAAGGTTAGCATTAATTCCGATTTACATTTTCGCTAAAAAGAAATAAATAACACCAGTCTTTATCATGGGTTATTTTACAGCCTGAAACAGCTTTTATACAAGGTGGGTTTGGTTGGTAGCTACTACCCAAAGTATGTACGGATATTCACAAGAAGAAGTATGGAATTTAAATAATTGAGCATAAGTTGGTTATTACGGTCTTCGATAAGAACGATGTGTCAACATTGGAGTTTGGAGTTGTAAGTTGCCGCCTATTGAAAGTATGGTATTTCACTAGCGTAGGTTGAAGTTGGAATTACCGTGTTATGGTATTTCAATGGCAGAATCCAAGTTGAAAATGACCACCTGCTGTGAGTATGGTATCTCAATACAGAGGGTGAAGATGTGAGTTATTATTTATGATACTTGCGGTATTTCAAAGGAAGAACCAAGCTGAAGTTTTAGGAGTTACTGTAATCACTAAACATGGCGTACTGTGGAGTTTTCTCCGCCTCCAAGAGCTAAAAGATACGAAGAATGTTTTTCTTGATATTAATTATAACCTTAGATATATTCCATACTGTCATCACAGTCGAAAGTAGAATTGCACCCAGCATACTTGCTTATTGCATAGAAACTAGTACTACTTGTTTATGCACTTTTTTTCTCCAAAGGAAATTCCTTATTCAGGAGAATGCTTAATTCTACTGAATAATGTTGTGGGTACTAGGCAACTGCAAATATTCTGTTTCCATGACAACCACGACTCTGTCTTCTTGAAGATGGATTTTTAGTGAAAATAATCAGATTAACAAGAAAGAGGTCTTAAAAGTACAGTCAGTAAGGTTCTTTTTTTTTTTCTCACATTTATGTATGCTATTCTGTTGAAGAAGGATAATGCGTGTGAGATGAATACAGAAGACGTCCAAGAAGAAGAAAAATTACTTACAAGTTTCAAGATTGATGGGTTATCTCTAAATGGCTAATAATCCTTCTCCGCGATTGGCCAAGATCTTCAAGATCCAAGGTAGATCATTTTAACGGATTGTACTACACGTGATGCACACCGATGGACTTAACAAACTTTTAAAAAGTAAAATAATAAAAAACACGAAAAAAATCGATCGTGAAACGTGGAAAACAACATTTAAGTCTTCGAAACTATATCTGTTTCATTCTCCTTCTCTCCCCCCCCCCTCTTTCTGATACAAAGACGAAATAACTCCTGAAATTAATTTCTTGCGAAAAAGAGAAAAGTAAGAATTAAAACCAATGTTACAGTAACACAAACCATACAGAATGCGTTAGATTTATTTATTTGTTTTTGTTGAATTTCGCGCCAAGCTATTCGGGGGCCATCTGCGCTAACTGTCCCTAATTTTAAAGTGATATACTAGAGGAAAAGCAGATAGACATCACCATCAAAGAATAGTGGAATTGACCATCAAATTGTAACACCTTCAAGGATGAAAGGGCTAGCATGTTTGGTGAAGGGACTCGAACCCGCGACCCTCAGGTTGCGAGTAGAGTTTGTTTATTATAGATTTCGCGCAAAGCGACACGAGGGCTATCTGCGCTAACCATCCCTAATTTAGTAGTGTTAGACTAGAGGGAAGGCAGCTTGTCATCACCACCCACCGCCAACTCTTGGACTACTCTTTTACCAACGAATAGTGGGATTGACCGTCATATTATAACGCCCCCACGGCTGAAAGGGCGAGCATGTTTGGTGGGACTGGGATTCGAACCCGCGACCCGCTGATTGCGAGTAGAGTGCCCTAACCACTAAGCCACGCCAATTCTTTCCTTGCGTTTTCCTCACTGATTGTTTCGTTTGTCACATTCTCCTTTTTTCGCCCGATTCACACCTGGAACTTACTCATTGAAAGGCGATCTAAACAATTTCGTCTTAGATACTCTTGCATAAACGTAATTACGATGTAGCCGCCCCAAACCGCCCCGTCATAACTGGGTCATGCAATTTTTGCAAATCCAATAAGATTTTTTTTTTTTCGGGAGTGGAGTAGGTTAGCGGTGTACAAGTGTTAAACGTTATATCCCAATCCAATGAAAAGATATATTTTATTTTTAAAATTAGAAAAGGTCAGTGAATTGGCAAACTTCTGCGACAAGTATGTGTTCGGTATGTATACTTACTGCAACAACTTAAACAGAAAATAACTTTTACCACTATCAAAAAATAGAAAGTTTCTAACTTAGCGGTTTGGCCCGGCATGGCCAGGTGGATAAGGCGCTCGACTCGCAATCTGCGGCTCGCGGGTTCGAATCCCCGTCACACCAAACATGCTCGCCCTTTCAGCCGTGGGGGCGTTATAATGTGACGGTCAATCCCACTATTCGTTGGTAAAAGAGTAGCCCAAGAGTTGGCGGTGGGTGGTGATGACTAGCTGCCTTCTCTCTAGTCTTACACTGCTAAATTAGGGACGGCTAGCGCAGGTAGCCCTTGTGTAGCTTTGCGCGAAATTCAAAAACAAACAAACTTAGCGGTATCTGTATTGTTGCCCCGGAGGCAAACATTTCCTGGCTCATAACATCAGAGAAGGTCAGTTTACTTATTTATATACTTTATAATTATTGAATTTAGAAAGATGACACATGTAGGCAACAGATATAATATTTTTGCTGTATGGAATGGATTTGCCGAAGTTTGTTATAATTAGGGGGTAGGGGGTGGGACGTCAAACTATTTCTTCTTTGTATGCCCTCCCCAGTGGTACAGCGGTATGTCTGCGGACTTACAACGGCAGAAACCTGGTTTCGATACCCGTGGTGGGCAGATCACAGATAGCCCATTGTGTAGCTTTGTGCTTAATAATAAACAACAAGAACAATCTTCTTTGTATATAGGAGTGCATAGTAATGTACAAAACGGATATACTAAAACGAGGAAAGTGATTTGCGAGGAGTGTAATATGTCCCCTGATTTGCAAGTATGTATAGACTGTACAAAAGTAGATCTGTCAGATGAAGATCAGCAGATAAATCCCTGAATAAACAAACAAACAAGAAAAAGGAAACTATAAAATGTAATATTGAGCAGAAATAGCCACAGAGCACAGAAACGCGAAGATACGAAAAATATCACAGAGCCTATCCAGTTCGTGAGTCTGTAAACACCATTTCTGTCTTGATTTTTTTTTTGCGTGAAATCAATGAAAACATAAACAGCAAGGTTTACGGTTAAAACGTTAGAACGTGGTGTTCAGTTAACTAAGACAATCATCTTTGTTACAGTTAGAAATCTGACATTTTCGTCAAAGATTCGGCAGGCAGATTTGATACTTACGATTATAATGTTTCTGGATGAAAAATCTGGCTATCAGGAAAAGTCTTTTATCATTTTTTGATCTTTGAGAACAAATAAATGGGTGAAATTCTTATGATCTTTCGTCCCCCAGTGGCACAGCGGTATGTCTGCGGACTTACAACGCTAGAATCCGGGTTTCGATACCCGTGGTGGGCAGAGCACAGATAGCCCATTGTGTAGCTTTGTGCTTAATTACAAACAAACTTATGATCTTTCGACTCAATTAGGCTTGTTTTTTTACAACGTCACGGTCACCTTAAGAATAGCTTGGAATTTTCTCAGTTTAGAAATCTAACTGACTGCAACAGTACGTTTTCAAAACTTAATTATTTATATGAATTATTCATAAAGCATTTCTTACAATCACATGTTACTTTTCACATATGTTACTACTGTTATGGATCAAGGTCTTAATAATAAAACTGATGTGAAATTACTTCTGTATTCCCTTAGCTTACAGATCATAAATGAAACGTCCAAATATTTTGTAAACATTCCGGAAAATAAGCATAAAAAGAATAAAGAAATAATCATAGATCATAAAAGTAATAACTGAGAGATTTCTTTTAAAAAGTTATTGTATTCTTTTGTTGGTGTAATTTCCTTAAAGTCGGCAATTCCCCAACATCCGTCGGAGATTTGTACCGGAAATGTTCAACACAACACGAACTATTCTATCTGATTGGAGAATACCCCACCTCCCTTTTTTTTTTAATTGAAAGGAAATTGGGTTGGGTTCTGTTTACGAATTCTGCTAAAGCAGACAAGAGAAAAGTTATTTCTGGCGTGTCTTTCTTTTGGATAAATCGTTGTTGAGAGAAACAACATTAAACTCAACAAATAGTCAAGGAAACAGTCAAACAAGCACACAGAAAATAGTCTGCTGTATCTGAATCTCACCGCTAACGACGAGGGAGGTCTGGGTAACTTTATAAGGTACAGGCCTAAAGCTCTTAGAAATATTAAGACAATCCCAAAAAATTGCCAGGTCGATCAATTAAATTTCCAAACACTTGAACTAATTATATCAGAAAAAATAAACCATGAAATAAAGACTGATGTCCAACAGACTCCCAACCCCCCCTCATCGTTTTATCTGTAAGTAAACAATCTTTACTTACGGCAGTACATCGACATCTTTCCTCGCTGACGAGAGCACGTGCTTGTGAGTGGCTTCCCTGCTAGAGCTCCTTGCCTTATTGCGCTGTTGACGTCAGACCTAATAGCGGAAGGTGAAAGTGCCAGAGAAACTCAATTTTAGCCCAATAGGTTATTCATAGGCTTCTTTGTGGAGCGATAACTTGTCCATAATCCTAAGCCGAACGTAGACTACGAAGCTACGTTTTAACTGGATGCCTGTTCAGATGGAAACTGGAGCAAACATTCCTATTAAATACCAAGACTAATGAGCTTCCTAACCTTAGCGTTTCGGTAGTCAGGGATGAATTAGAAATGAGCAGGGAGTGTTATGAGTGAAAATAAATAAAGTGACGTCATGGGTATCTATAGCAGCCTATAATGATAACTTGGAAGCGTTTAAGTCGGGTTTCTATGGGAAATTAAAAATGTTGCAGCTGTGATCCATTTTCGGTAAGGCCCCCCAGTGACACAGTAGTATGTCTGCGGACTTACAACGCTAGAATCCGGGTTTCGATATCCGTGGTGGGCAGAGCACAGATAGCCCATTGTGTAGCTTTGTGCTTAATTACAAACAAACAAATAAAAATTTCGGTAAGTCATAAAATTCCGAAACAAACAAAATCTACACAAATTGCGATCTGTAGTTTGCCTACTGCGGGTATCGAAATCCGATTTGCCGCGTTATAATCCCTCAGATTTATCGCTGAGGCACTGGAGGCTAGAAAGATGTAAGGAGAAGAAAATTAGAGGAATGGTTGAAATAATTCAATACTAATACAGGAACTAAAATTAACTATAAATAGTGTAAGATAAGGAAAGAGTACAAAAAAAGATTAGAAGAGGATTGTTAACTAGAATAAAATCAAATAAGCAATTAAAAAAATAATATATAGATTAAATCAGTAATAAAATTTAAAAAATTAAATGGTTTTTCTCTCAGGTGTAATTAAGTATATGATTGAAAATAAGAGCATTTTTGTGTCAGAAACTGATTAAAGGTCGAAGGTCACTGATTTCAGAATCAATGATAATCACACGGAGATAAAGATGAACAGTATTTAATGTAGTACAAACATGGCCCCAAAGTGGCAAGAGAATGCAGCGTATTTGCGGCAAGAGGATGTGAACCTTGAATGTTCGGGTTTACAGTCCGGGCATTCTAACTACTGTCCCATGTCTGTGAGCAAGCTTAAAACTAAGCTACATAAAACGTACGAAGATATTATCATAAAAAGTATTATTATATTCTTGTGCTTAACATTTTCTACCTAAAGGCCCAGAACAATCAGTTGCAAAGATTTTCTAGGTTCTAATAACCAGGTTATTCTTGTATCATTGGTCTATTGTTGTATAACTTTACTGTACCAGGTGTTATCTAGAAACCAAAAATACCCGTTAGGGAGCTCACTGCATTCTTTCTGCTGTAGCCTGTCTCTTAAGCCTACAAAATCAATGGAGAACGCTTGGAAACATATCTTGCTTTTTATTAATATGGGAATCAAATGTTTTGTTTACGTAATGGCGCAGAACAGTTGAGTTAGTGAAATACAGAACTTGTGTCTTAAAACTGTATAGTTTCCCATATTTCTGTTTGTATAATAAAAATAAATAATGTAATCTGCAAACCTCACAAAGCGACACACTACCTTCCATTTCCGTTCATTTAAGTAAAAACTTCTTCATTTTAGTTCATTCTTAATCCGTTAGTAGCAAGACTTTCCGATTTTTTCATGACTGTAAACGAAAAATGAGAAACAAGTTGTTTCTTTTTTTTTGTTAAGCACGAGGCTGCGCAATGTTTTATCTCTACTGTGCACACGGCAGGGATAGTACTCTTATTTTTAACGTTATAAGCCATAAAGCTTATCGCTGAGACACTGGAAAGTAAAAAAAAATATATGCTTCTAAATATATTTACTGAGTTTGAAAAGATTAACAAGGGTAAAACCAATACGTTCTTAAAAATAGCACTGGATGAAACTAAAACTAAACCTCTTATATGCAAACAAACGAGGTTTATTGATTTCATTTTAATGTTTCCCTTCTTGGTAGTTATTGTACAAACATTTTCAATGTGGAATTTGATTCCTATGTGCACTTTTTTTTACCTTTTCTTTCCCAGAATTATTTCACTTATGTATAATTTTCTGTGCTCTCTCTCTATTCACAGTTTTTCTCTTTAGGTATTAGTTTCCTTTTTTAAGAGGGCAATAACTAGTAAATTGTAGAGAAGGATATGAACAGTGAAATGACTAGAAAATTATAAAACACAGACAGGATTGAATAAATAATGTAGGTCACACTTTGTAAGGAGACGAGCACAGATGAATATCACAGTTAAACAAGCAAAGAAAAATAAAAAATGCAAGCAAGGCCCTCTCGCGTGAGAACAAAATACTGGCTCGAGGAGAAAAGAGGGACCTAAAAAAGGAAACATCGCAGACATTTACATATTAGTGAATATTTTACGATTTATTGTATCAAATAACTAATATAGAATAATTCATTACTAGCGTATAATAGGTCGGATGTATCGTTATCAATAAACTTGTATTAATGCTAAGGTAAATAACATAGGTTATTTTAGAACATCAATTTTTGTGTAAAATAAAATTCCGGCAAATAATGAAAAAAAAAAGTAACAATATTCTAAGGAGAAATTAATTCGAAGTTTGGGCAACAAACAGTGTTAAAACAAACATAACGGGGGGAGGTCAAATTCAATAGAATAGGTGGATGCAGCGGTGAAGGTTATTTAGTGGGTGGGAGCAGTGCACAAGGTCCCATAGAACAAGAAAATGTTCTCACTACATGCCCACCATTTTTTCACCTACTTCAGATACAAACAAAATTATTTAATAAATACCGTCAATAAGGATCAATTAAATTTTGTATCACGTGTCATTATATTTTGAATTAATGTATAATTTCCCCGAAAGGGTGCCGAATGCCGCCTGGAGGGATCACCTGTTCTAACCACTCGCACCACTGTACAGTAGTATGTTGTCTGCCAGTCAGTCAGTAGATACTAAAATGACGTCACATAAGGGACGCTTAACGTTGCAATTTGTACTGTCGAGACGTCAGTAAAACGTGAACATGCCATGAATCACGAGAATAATTATGCAATCCGCAGGCCACAACACAGCATGACTTTTGAACTTCGAAAGCAAGAAATTTGTTACTCTTAATATTGGTTTTATTTCAGGGGTCCTGCGGAAGTACATCTGGTTAATATCACTGCATTTGGTAGAACGTCCGTAAGTTCCGGCTATAATATTAATGACGTTTTCGTTTCCTTGTTTATATTCGGATAGGTTTAAAATTTAAGTTTTGAATTCAATTTGATATCAGAAAAAACGGCTAGTCGGCCAGAAGAAAGTTTGTTTGTTATGAATTTCGCGTAAAGCTACACGAGGGCTATCTGCACTAGCCGTCCTTAATTTAGCAGTGAACCCACCGCCAACTCTTGGGTTACTCTTTTACCAACTAATAGTGGGATTGACCTGAACGTTATAACGCCCCATGACTGAAAGGGCGAACATGTTTGGTGGGACGAGGATTCGAACCCGCGGCCCGCAGATTGCGAGTCAAGCGCCCTCTAACCAGACGCCAGAAGAAGTTTTAGATTCAGTTTTATTAACAATAAAGAAGTTTTGAAACTTTCACTCATTTATCCCATCAGATCCTTTTTGTCTTTGCACGCTTTACGTTTTAGCCACTGAAGCTTTGAATTGGTACATTTTCAAATACAAGTTCCTGTTTGATTGTCTTTTACAGAACAGACGGAAGTTTCATTTTGTCCTCATACATAGATACGTATATCCGATTGGTCCATATCATATGAATACGTTTATCTCTGTTGTTGTGGTTTTCTCTTGAGAGTTCAGAGGAGTAGTTTGTGTTTGTTCGGTTCCAAGTTTATCTAAAGACAGAAGATTGATCACTTAAGCACCAGTTGTTATTACTGACAGTTACTAACGTTAAACTACGACAGTTTCTATCCATTGTGAGATGGAACACTTATATCAGCTTTCTATACAAAACTAGACAATCTAAGATGGAAAATAGGTTTTAAATAGACGGTTATTCAAGCACTTACTTAGGTATTGGTAAGTAAATTAACTGAGTATAAAACGATGGTTGGGAAGGATTATATTAAGCACCAACGTCTTATAGATTCTCAATGATAGCAGCTTATAGCTGCACATCCATCTGATCCTGGGTGTACTCGCAATGTTTTGGGAACATCTCTTTAATTTATGGAGATATCTCAATAGAAATATATAATCTGATACGAATTTTCTTTTTCTAATGCAACTAAATTTGAAATTCAATAATATATAAGACGTGAACCGTCAAGTTTATTTGATTTGTGTGTGTGTGTAAAAAACAGCAAGGTTTTGTGAACTTCCTTAGAGCTACCCGATAGTTATGGATAGTGTGGTATTAAAGTTATAACATTACATATGGAAGACTTAACATCTTGCTTCAAAATTATTTTGTAGTGATCAAAAGATTGCGTATGAATACGTTATCACACATACATACATATTTTTTGAATTTATATCAGCACTTTATTTTCCCATAATTCATGCTAAAGCTTGAAACCTTCGTTAACTAAGAGCGCTTTATGAAACCATTGACACCGGTGAACACACTAAACCTGCTGAACCATCATCTATTAAAAGACGAGTTGTTCGGGTAACATAATGAAAATAAACATTTAGCTTTACACATATACACTTTAAATATTTATTTACTGTACATCTGTACAGCTTGGTTATTTTTTAATCATCTTCTACCGTTTCAAGTGTTGCCTTTTTTGTACCGAATCTTTATCAATATTTATGAAGTGAGGAGTTTTTGTAATGGATTGGCTATTTTTTTCAACTGTAGGTAGCGCTTTTGTCATATTCAAGCAACTTCTTGAACATTTCAAGCATAATGAAACAGCAGAAAAAAAAGATAGTTTGCTATTATATATCTGTCAGCATATAATCCAAAATTTAACCCAAAAGTTTCTAAACAAAACAAATGAAAGCTAGGAATCAAACAACAGCATCGAAGTTTTTTTGTTTGTTTGTTTGTTTTTAATTAAGCACAAAGCTACACAATGGGCTATCTGTTCTCTGCCCACCACG